TCTTTGTTTCAATAACATCAAACGGGTCCCCCTGAATCCACTTTTTTTGAAGAGTCAACCGGGTGCCCATTTTTAGGTTTGAAGCATCAAAAGGGACCCCCAATTCTACTCGTTTTGACAAATCGCAGGGTCCCTGAATCGACTGTTGTTTCAGAATGAAAAGGGTGCCCATTCTTTGTTTCAACAACATCAAACGGGTCCCCTGAATCAACTTTGTTTGAAGAATCAACCGGGTGCCCATTTTTGTTTGTTTGAAGCATCAAAAGGGTCCCCCAAATCTACTTGTTTTGAAGAATCAAAAGGGCTGTGCCCATTCTTTGTTTGAAGCATGAAAAGGGTCCCCATGAATCGACTGTTTCTGAAGAATGAACAGCGTGCCCGTTCTTTGTTTGACAAGCATCAATTGGGTCCCTGAATCAGGTATTTTGAAGAGTCAAATTCTTTATGGAAGCATCAAACGGGTTCCCTGAATCTACTATTTTTGAAGAATCAAATAAGTGCCCATTCCTTGTGTTTGCAACATCAACTGGGTCCCCCGAATCCACTTTTTTTGAGGGTCCCCTGAATCTACTGAAAAGGGGAAGCAACAAGGGTCTCGACACTGAAAGCCCAGATCCCTTTGTGTGGCAACCAAGGGAAAGCCTGTGAAAGCTGAAGCAATTGTTTGCAACTCAGGAAGCACGCGTGGTGTGACGCGGGGGGGTGGCTGCCTCTGTGTTTCGTTAGACTTGTTCGAGCTGCGATAGACAGAACGGACCTCCGAGTCGCTGGCTGTCCACCGGTTTTTCTTACCGAGAATCGCAGGGGTCGGAAGTCTTGCACTGGCGTTCGCGGAAGGCCAAAATTGCTTGGCGTTGGGGTGCCCCTTCGGTTGACCTTTAAACATCAATCAAATGGGTATGGTTCGGCACCTTGGGTTTAACCCCAAATCGTGGTGTTCCTTGTGGCTTCACATGCCAAACTATGCGTTCTGTTTAAGGGGACCATTTTCGCAATCACACATTCTCCAGCCGCCTTGGGCCCACCCAGAGCCAATCTCAGGTTGCATATTTGAACCTTTTTGGAGGGTCTATTTTTGTCCACTCTTGGTATCCTCAGATCTTTCTGCGACTTTTAGCTAGCGCGGATTTGGTTCCGCCAAGACTCCAATACCACCCCCCGCCAAGTACAAGACCATGTCTTTCTTTGGAAGCATCACATGGGTTCCATGAATTTACTTTTTTTGGTCGAATCAATCGTGTGGCCATTCTTTGTGAAACATCACAAGTATCTCCTGAATCAACAGGGTGCTCGTTCTTTGTATTTGCAACATCAATCGGGTCCCCCGAATCTACAGTTTTTGCAGAATCAACCGAGTGCCCATTTTTGTGTTTGAAGCATCAAAAGGGTCCCCCCCACTCATTCTTTTTTGAAGAATCATGTTTTTGTGGAAGAATCTACCTTTTTTTGAAGAATCAAGTGGGTGCCCATTCTCTGTGTTTGCAACATCAACCGGGTCCCCCGAATTCGCTATTTTGAGGGTCCCCTGAATCTACTTTAAACTTTAAAGGGGGAATAATCAAAAGGATGCCCATTCTTTGTGTTCCAAACATCAATCGGGTCCCCCGAATCTACTTTGTTTGAAGTGTCAAAAGGGTCCCCCAAATCTAGGAAACGCTCCTATGTTTGTGGGACTGCACGTGTTGGCAAGCTTCCTACCGAGCGCTGACTTCATTAAGTGCTTCCGTGCAAAACACGGATCCCCCAAAATGGGTTCATTTTCAAAGGGAGATCCTCCAAGCATGGGTGATTTTTTTGGGTTTCCATATCAATCAGGGACAAAGCCATCCGAAACTAAACGTCACATTTTGCCTCCGTTTCGCACCCGCCAGGCCTTGTGGCGCAGGCTTCGCGGGGGTGCTGGGGTGCGTCTGGCAAACTTTGATAGGGGAACGCTTCCAAAACGGTTGGTGCGCATGAATTCCCATTAAATGTCCACCAAAGGGTCCCGAAGCTGGTAAGAGGAGACGGCACCGGGGTTAGACGCGACAAGAGGAGGCAACGCCCAGCCTCGACAGCTGCCAACATCAGGGGACACCCCCAAAATTCCAAATAGGGGGACCCCCCAAAAGTGCGGTTTTCCCTTGGTTTCTCATGAACGAAATAACACACAAATCCATTTGTAGAGCTGCAATTTGGCTGTCCCCCCTTTTGAACCTCACTGACCGGGAGAAGTTCGCGAGGCCGCGCAGTGGCCTCCCATTGACCCGCTGCGCCATGGCACGCCCATCTGCCCGCGAGCCTGGGTGGACTTGGCGCATTGTCCCGCTGAAAGCTAAGGATTCTCTGAGTGGTTCTAGAAAGGTTCCCTTTAAAATCAAAGTCCGAATTGAGGTGGTCTCTTTTTCCCTGGGGTTTGTGGGGCTGCCGGCTCTTTGATTGCTGCTTGGGTGTGTACGAGAAGGGCGGGGCAATCATCAAGTCTGCGTGGAGCGCAGGAGTCTGTCCATTTGGACTCGGGCAGCAACGTTCGTGTTCCCTTGCAATGGGACTCGCAGCTGGGAACTGCCAACCCAAGCTGCAAATTTGGGCCAGCAACCCACATTTCTAGCCGAAACAGATTAATTTGAGTTGGAGCTACTCACTTTGACCACAAAGGATCTGGATAAATTTCCGCGTATGCCATGGTCAACACATGTGGTTCCCGGCAATAAGGATGTTCACCAAAAAAGTCCTGTATCATCACGAGCTCATGACACGCTGTGGACAAAGTCCTGCACCAGTTGGGATGGATGAAATCCTATGAGTACCGGGAAAAACGGCTAAACTACCAACCCCAACTGGTGCCGGGCCTCCCCTCACTGTGAGGCTTTGATGGTGACGGCCACAGCTTTGAGGAGTGCTGCAACCAGGAAACCCGCTCCGGGGGCGAGGTGGGCCTTACAAACCAGACTATTGGCGGATGGTTTGCTCCAAAATGCAACCATGCTTCAAATCACCTCAGTAAGCAGACTTGTGTTCTTGAAACGCATAGTATGGAAAGTTCCAGAGACAACTTTGCCAGAGGTAATCTGCAATGCGAGCATCAGTTTCCTTCTGGTTCGAGAGGCACACTCTCGGGTTCAGGCTTGTTTTGTGCCCTAACTCGGCGCCGCTTTTTGTCCGGTACGGCATTCTAGGTTGCGCGTACTTGGCAACTTTGGCATGCTCCTCCCGTTTATTCTCCGAATCCAAGAACAGGTGTGTTTTGGATGTTGGATGGGGGATTGCTTTGCTTTGCCTGGCCTGCCAGGAGACGTTTGGGCCATGGGGCAACCCGCACCTCGGGCGGCAGAGTTCAGGCTGCCGGGTGTTATTCTTTGCCGCGTATATCGTGAAGAGGAACCGATTTCTCGCACCACGCTTGAAATTGCTGACACGCGAACAGCTTTTTTTGAGCAACAAAGCACAAAGAAGAGTACCCCCAAGCATCTGAGCCTCCTGGGCTCCTAAAATGGTCAGTTTCGATTCGCAAGCCCAGGGAGTGCTTCGAGGGCATCTTCTCATACGAGGTTGGAATGAGCCAAGCGACGGGCTTCGCGGTTCGTTGGTCGAGAGACGGACATGGACCCCCCCTCACACCAGCGGCTTTTTCCATTTGTTTTCCTTGACGCCACCCCAAAGATGGTGGCATCGTGTTTGCACGAGACACCTTGCATTGCGAGCTTGAGAAGGGACTTGCTGAAGATGGCTTTGCGGTGCTTTTCCACAGCATGTCCAAGCAAGCAGACTTTCTCCCAGCTGCGTCGGATTCAACAGTTCTAGTTCTGTTTGTTGATGCTGGCAGCATTCAGCTCGGCTTCCTGTTTGTGGCTGCCGTATATCCGTGTTTGATGCTAACGCGTCGTGTGAACAGAGAAGGATCGGTAGAGGCTGCACAAAAAGGGCCAAACCAACATTGCGGAGGAAACACTTGTTCCGCGAAATCACTGGCCTGCTGTGAATCGCAAAGCTGCCAGCTCTGCTGCCTACCGGATTGGAAGAGTCGCAACACGGAAGTTCGTGCCTGCCAGGGCCCCAGACTCTGTGGGTCTGCGCTCCATTCATCAAGGTCTCTGAGGTTTTGCCTGTACAATGCTGATAAATGGACGGATGGGCTCGTGCTTCACATGGATGGTTTCCAGGTGCTTTTACTCCATACTGATTGTGCCGTGCACCAAGGTGACTGGGTGCAGTTTGCCCAGGATTACAAGGAGCAGGCACGGACTGAGCACCGTCCGAGTATTTTTCGTCAGCAGTGCACGTTACAATTTGATGACAGATCATTTTGGCAAGTTCTAACGAGCTTGCCCGGGGGCAAAACGAGCTCACTCACAGCTCGCTCACAGGTATTTCTAATTTTCAGTTCGGATTGTAAACTCTCAGAGAGAATTCCTCATTTCCCGCCCAACCACTACAACAACTTCGGAGGAGTGCTACCCGACTGTTATCAAACGAGACAGCAACCCCTCAGAATGTTTGTGTCTGGGCGAAGAATTCATAGCCACTGTGGGCTAGCGCACAGCATTGTGATTCTCAGTCAATGTGAGCAACTCAGCCTGTATTGCGACCATCACAATGGATAGGACACTATAAGCTGCGATCATGCTGCCATTCCATTGTGATCTTCATTCTTACTGCTGTTGGTCTGGGTACATTAGATTTACAACCTACGACGTCTACCCCAATCCCAAGCAATGTCTTTTTTCTCCTATAAAGCGGCTTGTTCAATACGTGTCAGGACCGGCAGAATGTTGGAAGACTGGCATCCATGGTTGGCAAGAAGAGTTGGCAAGAAGGGTTGGCCCCCGCCAAGCATGCTGCTAAAGGTTGGTCAGAACGGCTACCTGATACCGCACATTTGCAGCTGACGCACTCGAGTCAGCAGCATCCGAGTCCAATGCCAAAGTCGGCTTCCAAAGTCGTTGTGGCTTTGGCAGCGCCGCTGTTGGCCGTCTCAGGGCCTGTGAACACCAATGGATTGGGATTGGCAACTCCATTTTGGAGCAGCCCAGGAAGCTTCTTGGTCTGGCCTTTTGCTCTGACTTTTGGTGTCGAAGGCCCAGAACTCGGAGGACCCGCCCGGCGAGGCGGAGGCGGGCTTGGCGCGCTTGCCGCGCTCCGTAGTGTTTCCAGATGTCAAAGGGAAGCGAACCATATTGGCAAGTGGGTGGTTGTCAGTCCCGCTCGCTTTGGGTCCTGGACCCCCAAACACCTTTCCCCCCCAGTGAAAACAAAAGTTTCCCCTCACTTGGGAGTGGGTTAGCGGTTTTAAGAAGATCCATGCCTGCCACACAGCTTTTGTAGGAGATTCTCAGTCAGAACGACCAACTCTACGAGGCGCGGTGTCCTGGCAGACGCTTTTCGCTTGTACGCGCTGGGATTTCCCCGGCTGGGATTGCATGATTGCACTCCTTGACGGACCACCAAATGGAGCCATTTCTCAGTGTAATTTGAGGGTGTGATGCACAACGCGTCAGGGATAGGAGCAACTGACATAATTGCTGGAAGTCTATTGTCACGAATGGCGGCCCACCCAAATGTCAACCACAAAAAATCAGAGGTTAAGACAAGACCACCCAAATTTCCCTTGCCTCTTGGGGAAACTTGAAGGTAATTGTATCCGGGGCGCACAGGATCGGTCAAATTTGCCAGTAGTGTATGGTCCATTTGGAACAGAGATGGGGGAACTCTGCGCAATTCCAGGAGACTCATATCAGCTTGGCCAGGAGAGTTGCTGCATGACCTACCAGGCGGAACAGAACCTCTGCCAGAGACTCGGTTTGGGTTTGACAGGAGTGGGCTAGGAACTTCATGGTTGGACACCCTTGAAAAATGGTTGGAACGCCCTAACGCACACATGCACATCCATAGCATATGCTCAAAAGGGGACAACAACACAGAACCCAAACCATTTGCAACCATTCCAAATTCATAGGCAAGTAAGTGAATGTCCACCAAAGTGTCCAACCCACCAAATGCATTAACAGTTCTGCTGTTGACAAAGGGTCCTCTCGCGAATGATGGTGGGTGATTTCGAGGCCGTGGTGCCGGCTGCACTGGTGTCCCATGTTTTAGGGCAACAAGTTGTTGAGGCTTCTAAACTTGTTGACCCTGTGCCCCAAGCCGTCAAATGCCTATGTTTCAGGCGAGCGAAGGTGATACCTTGTTTTGGTTCTGCGTGCAAGCATCACCTTATTTGTAGATGTTGGTTTTGGATTGGCGGTTTTGGGAATCTGAAGCCCTGGTTCTTGTGGGTTTCGACAAAGCACAACACCAATCGACCCACTAGCCCAACGGTCATTGGCTATGAAATTCAATAGGGAACTCTCCCCAATGGTTGGTGGACACAAATCCGAAGTGAGGCTAGTGGCAAAGGGAATCCCCCGAATTTGCTTGCCCGATGGCTCGGCTGGGAACTTGCCACACTGGCACAAAGTTTCAATTGCTCTGATGGCTCTGCCCGATCCCATGGCTCACTTGCACTGCCACTCCTTGGTGCAGGTTCCTTTGCCGCGATTCTTGGGTTTTGGCTCGCGCGACATGCTGCTTCAATGTGAATCTGAGTTGAGGTGTTGCTGGCGTCGAGGCAGTCATTGCCACAATTGAACCAACAGGCGCCCATGCAAAGTGGGCACGCCAAAATGCGTTCTTTGTTTGGCCTGCCTCCCACTCAAAACCACCAAGGGAGCACTAAGAAGATACACATGTCCCAACGTCGAGGGACCCTCTATCTCGTGCCTGCCTGCTGCCTGCCTGCCTGCCTGCTTGCTGGCTGTTTGTCCGTTTGTCCGTCTGCCTGTCCCTGAATTTCCCATAAAAACCATGGGATGAGCCCCAAAGTTTCCCATGTCCAGTAGTTCATTTTCCGTGCGCTCAAGTCGTCAAGCGCCGAGCTTCGAGGCTGGGGCTACCTGCCGCATCTTCGGAGGCGGCTGCCAGGCACCAACCTCTCGCGGGGCTATGCCGGGACCTCGGGGGAGTGGACGCCGCCAGTTGGACGGGGCGGAGGGCCCAGGCAATTTGGACCCATGACCCCTTTGACCTGCTTGTGGGAGACCAGCAGGACGTTGACGGTTGGGGGTTGGATGGACATTGCAATCCTTTGGAACTGTTTTGGGTTTGGGGCATTTTCCTTGGAACCACAGGACACAGGCAGACATGTTTTCCATTCGTCAAAGTGTTCTCCATTTTGCCCAGGCGCGGATTGTGATGTTGGCCAAATGTTCATGAGTAGCCCCCACACACGCACTAGATCGGGCCACGTTGGAAGCACAATTGCCATGCAAAACAAACATTTTCCAAGACAAGGTTGGCAAAACAACCCAGAAGAGGGCACACTCGTTCCAGTTTCCAGTTTCTCGTCTAGCAGTCAGTCACTTTTCAAGCAGCAAGTTGGCAGCATGTTTTAACAACTCTTGTTTCATCATGAGGAACAACTCCTACAAGCAGCTGGCCTTTTCTGCCAAGATTTGCCATTTGTTTGGTAAAGCGGACTGACCAAAAAGGAAGCCATGAACTCCATCCTTGACTGGACGGAGTGCCTGAGCGACGTAGGGAAGCTGCCCAAAGGGAAACCCGTGAGGTTTTGTTCATTTCTTTTGGCGAGCCAGGCCGTTTGTTTGAGGAAAGCGGACGGATTCAGGACTGAAATGCCAAACAAGGCCGATCCCATCCAAAGCGCATGTTATGTGCTGCGATCTGGGACGCATTGGTGGACACAGCCGCGCAGTTGCATCTCCATGTTTCTCTCGCCGCTTCAGCAAACCGAGTGATATCCTCTTGCTATGCCGAGGTTAGCTGCTGCTATGACCACCTTCAGGCACCGAATGGCTGCCTTGATTTTCCAACTTTCCCATGTCCTCTTGTGGCAAGTAAGGGCTCATGTGGAGCGGTCTAGGGTTGGTTCGAGGGGCTCCCAGTGAAGCAACGCCCTTCACCGTGTCATGCAGGTTCATTTGACTATTTGGTGGAGAATCCATCGGTTTCGAGTAGGAACTCGTGCTAGTCCGAAAAAGGTGGGTGTGGAGTCTTGATGGATAGTTCCGTTGCAGCATAAATCAGGGATGATTGCGGATGTTTCCAGATTGATGCTGAGCACTTGTTCAAATGATCAGATCGTGTTTAGACGTGTGCTGTATTTGCTCCACTGAGACAATCAACAGTATGGCCGTACGGATTGAGGGACAGCGAGATGCTTTTCCGGCATGCGTGAAAGAGGGCGCTGTCTTTCAGCCAACCCTTGGGAACTTGATCGTTTTGGCTGGTCTCCACTTTGTCGGAAATTTTGAAATGTAACTTCTCTGGCCATGGCGAACACATCCCAGGCCCGTGCTTTTGGCTTCCTGTTCTCCGAAGATGGCTTCAATTGAGAGCGGCTGTGGCCCCATCGCAAGGCTCTGCTGGAGGCCAGGCGGAATGGCGCACCCGACCCAGCCTGGCTGCAGAAGGAAATGGAGGCAAGGGAGGAAGGGATGGGGGGGACTCGGTTGGCTGCTGCTGGCCCGCGTGCCAAGCCAGCTTCACTGCTGCCCGGCGGACGGGCTGAACTGCGCATAAAAGCCACAGTTTCCTGCATAGAAATGCAAATTTGGCTCCATGGCCTTTTTGCTTGGGGGTGGACAAACAGGGCCCCCTTTGGAAGGGGACATCTAAAGACGCTCCAAAGCCAAGCTGTATCTCTAGCCATAAATACGGGTCCTCAACGGTGGACCTCCAGAGTTTCTCCAGAGAACATAGTGGTTTTGTAACGAATGATGATTTTCCGCAGTCTGTGGAGGTAGGCCAAGCTTCAACCAAAGCTGCAGATACCTACTTTCACCCCGGAGTTTGGTTGGATGCTGTGAGGCCAGGATTTCCTGCAAGACTCGATTCCTTGCAGCAAGATGTGTAGAGCGACGGGCACAGGGCACTCTGAATACCCCAGTGTGGTGGGACGGACGAGGTCCTGTGAATGCTGGGCAACTGGTGTACAGCCTGGGATCCCCTTTTGACAGATCGGTTGAATCCCCGAGATCGCGGCAGTGCATTCGATCGCAGCTGCGAGCCCTCGAGCCGTGCCGCCACCGCAACCTCACCTTGCCCGAGTCTCAGAGCGTTTCTCAAAATGGTGCGTCGACCCCTCCTTGTTTGGTATTTAATTGGGAAGCCAAAAGACCATTTTAGAGCACCAACTTTTGAGAACCTTCCAGTTGACCTCGACTTTGCGCTTCAAGTTTGGTGGGTCGCTGTGTGTGCGACCACTTAGTGTTGTCAGTGTTTGTCTCTGTTGTCGCTTTTTCTCTGCGGGGAAATATGTTCATTTAATTTGTTGATCGGACAGTTTGGTCAGTTTGGTCACTTTGGTCAGCTGGTCTGTTTTGCTTTTAAAGGCTCTTGGAACCCTCAAATCCTCACTCGATTTAATGCGGCCATTGAACACCGGGACGGTTGGCAAAGGCAAAGGCCCCGTTGAGACTTCGGATTTGAGTAGCTATGGGCGGCTTGATATCGCGGTGCTGAGTCAATGCGACTCACTTGAGAAGTGATACGTGAGGACCCCAAATCTTTCCTCCCAGCACTTTTCTGCCCCTCACCCGCCGTGGATGATACTTGCGCTGGGAGTGGGGTGATGTGACGACTTGGCTTGCCCTCCGCAGGCAACCGAAGTGATCCAATGGCACGGAAGGGCCGCGGCAGATCCTCAGGCAGGACGGCCTTTTGTTGACGTGGAAGCTGCGGTAAGTAGAGCCAAGAGAAGGTAGCTGTGTATCGTATGAAGCTGACATCATCATGGCATATTCTGGGGGACTGTTCCCAAGTCCTCCACAAGAACTACAATATCTGACGCAAATGACTAATGAGGCAAGGGACCGTGTTTTGTTGCACACGCAAGACTAATGAGGCAAGGGACCGTGTTTTGTTGCACACGCAAGTTGCTAGACCCCAACATGAGCATGGTACCATTCTAGCAACAACCATACAAACATGTGTGTTCAACACTGTAGACTGACCCCTGTACACTCCTGTGAATATGAAAGCTGGTCGCCCTCTCAGACAACTTCTGCGAGACAAAGAACCATGGCGCATGAGGTCAAGTTGTATTTCCGAGGTGCCACTCCGTGAATCATGCTCTCAATCTAGTAGTTCAGCAAATCCGTGTTGGCCATTCATTGCAGTAGAGGGTTGCGTTGTGTCTCGTTAAATAGGGTTACAAGATGGCAGAGAACGCCCAGTATTCTGACATTTTGGTGGGATTGTTGGATGAGATACCTTTGCAACCTCAACTTTGGCATCAAAGAAGTGCAGCAATATCACTGACACCAGCGACAGGCGAGACCAAAATAGAAGCAGTAACACGTGTCAAGAAAGGCAGCCACGCCAAGCTAAGAAACAAGCAAGCCAGCGATCCATCAAGCAGGCAGGCAGGCGGACAGGCAAGCAGGCAAGCAGCCATGGAGCGGCCTCCCGGCGAGTGGATGAGGCCCGACCCTGCCGCACAAGTGGTCCGCAGCGGCGGCAACGCGCTTCAGATCATAGGCTCAACCGGCAGCACATGGAGTACGGCTGACGAGCGGCGTGCCAAGGGCTGGCCGGAGGCTGTTGAACCGCACAACATCTTCGCCCTGGGAACGCTTCAGCCAGCCAGCTGGGAAGCACGAATAGAAGCGCTGCCGCGTTCCCATGGTGAGCAGGCTGGACTGTATGCCTACGGTGATGCGTCCTCCTGGGTCAAGTTTGTACTTGAGGGCGCGGGCGATGGCAAGGTGATGCTCGTCTTCGCTGAGCAGCGGGATGGCGTGCCCTTCCTCCGTGGCAAAGTGCCGCTCGATGACTTTGAAGGTGGCTTGCACCTACGACTGGAGGTGCACGGCGAGGGCCAGGTGCTCGCGTTCTGGCGGCATAGCATTAGTAGTAGCGTGAGCGGTAGTGACGCCTGGGTGCAGATGGTTCGTGGACACGGCTGGTTGACGCCGACGGAGCAGCAACTCGCTTCTTCTCCGAAGCCTGGCGCGCTCGAGGCAGGCGACTCGCGGGGAAGTGAGCTGGCCGCGTGTAACCTGCCAAGGACATGGAGGGCGGTCTTGCTCACAGAGCAATGGCAAACGCGGACTGTAGTCACGTTTGAAGACGTGGCCATGGATGCTCTAGCATCAACGGAAAAGCGGACAAAGCGAAAAGCAGGGAGGTGAGCTTAACCGGATTGAAGCGCTTTGCGATAGACACTGGCCACGTCACCTCTGCCATGCAAGCAAGCAAGCAAGCAAGCAAGCAAGCAAGCAAGCAAGCAAGCAAGCAAGCGAGCGAGCAAGCAAGCAAACAATGAGAAGCAACGCAACACAAACCAAACACATATCGAAACAAGCACGCGCACACACACACACATTCACACACGAACACGAACGCGGACAATAACACATACACAAACGAACAAACAAAACAGCAAACGGGCAAACAATCGAACCAGCAAACAAACAACAAAATGCAAGCAAGCAAGCCGACAAAGAAAGGGACAAGCAAACCAGGCAAGCAAGCAAGCAAGCAAGCAAGCAAGCAAGCAAGCAAGCAAGCAAGCAAGCAAGCAAGCAAGCAAGCAAGCAAGCAAGCGAGCAAGCAAGCAAACAATGAGAAGCAACGCAACACAAACCAAACACATATCGAAACAAGCACGCGCACACACACACACACACATTCACACACGAACACGAACGCGGACAATAACACATACACAAACGAACAAACAAAACAGCAAACGGGCAAACAATCGAACCAGCAAACAAACAACAAAATGCAAGCAAGCAAGCCGACCAAGCAAGCAAGCAAGCAAGCAAGCAAGCAAGCAAGCAAGCAAGCAAGCAAGCAAGCAAGCAAGCAAGCAAGCAAGCAAGCAAGCAAGCAAGCAAGCAAGCAAGCAAGCAAGCAAGCAAGCAAGCAAGCAAGCAAGCAAGCAAGCAAGCAAGCAAGCAAGCAAGCAAGCAAACGATACATTTCGTTCAGATGCAAGAGCCCAAAACGCCTTGTGCTCTCTTGCCAGTTGTCCGCTCTCCCAGCCGGGGTCGCTCCCGAAGCCCCGTGTCGTTGGATGAGGAGGCGACAAAGGCGGGGTGTGGGGCCGGACCCCCGCGGCGGATCGGTTTGTTCGACAGCGTGTCTGCGAATGACTGGCGTCCATGATCCGAATCCTTCTTAAAGTGATAACGTCATGGGAATCAACCGCTTCTGTACCACAGCGAGGATCATTCTCCGCAACCATTTTGGTGTTTTCTGGTTTTTCTTGCACACCATCCGAAAACGAATTCCCCCGTTCCAGGACACCCCAAGATGGAGTCACGGAATACCACTCTGAAAGGCAAAGCTTGTTCAAGTGGCACTCCCGAGAAGTGAAATGTCTAGGTCAAAGCAGTTTTGGTGACCACTCGGTTGGCCTATCAGGTGGGAAGCCTTTGCGGATTGTGAGAAGGTTCTTATTCGAATGGAACGTTCGCCGTGCAGGATCCTGCGCCAACTTGGTGCTCTTGAGGTTTTGGCCCATGTCCGATCTGCTGGTTTTGGGTGTTCACTAAGCGTGACCATGACACGCACTTTGACCCTGGCAGGTACGCGAATACGCAACACACAAGTAGCCCAGGGACCCCTCTCTTTGTGGCGTCCCAGGGCGTTTGACTCTCTGTATACTACCCGTATTAACATGGAACCTAACCTGGCAGTTTGAGTGTCTTGGTTTCGTTTCATGTTGATCATGGGAGTAGCTCGGCCAGGTCTGCAGCAAGGAGTTCCGGCGCTTTGCGCAGCAGGCATCGGTCAGACGTCACGAAGCGGAGCTAGTCTTGAGGGAACACACGAGCACAAATCTGGCCGGTCTTCTGCTCCGAAGAGGAGGTCGCAGTTTCAAGCAGTCCCATCTTTTTCTCGCAAGGGATACTGGTGGTCTGCTTGCCTTCATTTTATTGTTGGAAGGAGTTGACATTGTTGGGGGTATGTTTTGGACTTGGCAGGGTAAGGGCACCAGAAGAAGTCTTGAAAGCTGCTCGTTTGCCCTCAGATTCTTCTTTTGAAACAGAACACTGTAATTGTAACAGTGCAACTTGTGGAGTGATTGCCAGTTTGAAAAAAGAAGCAAAGACACATTGAGATTCCCGCACGCATCATCATACCCATGAACACAAACGTCTGTATGCAGCTTTATTTCGCTTGTAATCAACAAATGCAATTCAAGTGCAATTCAAGTGCAAGACACAGATTGCAAGCATTGTGCCTTCACACCGGAGTTTCTTTTGGCCATCCTTGTTGGCCTCCATGTCGCTCTTTGGAATGCCATCTTGTCGGCTGCTTGATACAAGTTCACCTTCCCTCCTTCTGGGTAACCAGTGTTTCTCCCATCACTTCCAGGGACTGTATGCCAAAACATGTTCCATTCATTTGCTGCCGAAGCTTCGCGGTTTCCCTTCCAGAGCCCACTTCGCGGAAATTGGCTGGGGTCTGGTTGAGCCCAATTGGGTGTGTCGTTTTTAATTTGCCGTTTTTGGGGTCGTTTTGGAGACAAAAGGAGACACATTTTATTGGGCCCCCCTATTTGGAGATATTCGGACACGCTACCCCCGAACGGAATGCCGTTGTTGGTGGAAGGCCCATTTCCCAGGTTACCCTTTGCGCCAAACAAGATTTGGGTTGGGGTCTCTGAACTGACTGTTTTGGACGGGAACCAAAGGAAAACCGCCCTCCAGGTGGGTGGTTTGGATGGGCTCACAGGTGGCCAAGGCCGTGGACCGCAAGCCGCAGAAGCCGGTGGACGTCTCCAAGGCGATGGAGTGGAGGGAAGGAAGTCTCCCAACGTGGGGTGGCATGTCTTTTTGGCCTGTTTGGAGGACACTTTATTGGGGGGTGGTTGCCTTATTCGGAGATAGACCCAAATGGATGCTCACAGGATGTGGGTGTTGTTTTGGGGATACTTTACCCTTTTCGGGTTGGTTCGCTCTCTACGGAAAACCTGAACATGAATGGTTTACTTATGATTTATCTTTCAAACAAGAAGCTTCGTGCTTAGAGATGGGGGGACTCATGACGGGTGCCACTTTTTCCCCTTGAAGAACCTTTGGGGATTGGACTCTTGTAGCCCGGAAATGGTTGGAGAAGGCGATGCTTGTCACCCGAAACAGGAGGCTTCCATGTCTGTTTTGCTTTTTGGCGATGAAAGATGTCGGCGTTTGCCATTTTGCAAACAGATGGGTAAAGAAAAAGGTTGTAGCATGTCCTTGGAGGTTCGGCAGCATTTGGAGAAGCTGTTGGCAGAGGAGGAGGTCCAGGCGATCGGGAAATCCAAGTTCCGGATGAAATTGGCAGGAGCCTCAAGAGATACACATTTTGCAGATCTGGTTTTTGGAAGACAAAGGGCTCCTCTCAATTGAAATTCATGCACATCTTGCGAGCAGTTGTTCAATGTTTCTTTGAGGTGAAAGGGCAGGGGAAGGGCCGACTTTTCATGGGATTTCGAGCTTCCCAAACTGGCTCGCTTGGACAAGGTGTTTTTGCGGGCATGGAGGGTGTTGTCCCTCCAACGGGTCTCAATTACAGGTTCAAACCTTAAGGCAGGATATGAAACGAACACGTTTTGGCTTCATTAGGGACAGAGCCTTGGCTGGTGTGCAATGCTTGCCTTTTTGGTCACTTGAACATCCTTCTGTTGATTGAGTCTTGTACGGTGCACCAGTTTATTTACCAGATTAGCAAGTACTAGTAATATGCATGTTATATCCATGTTGGCCAAAGCCCGGGCGCTGCTTACATAGAGTATTGTTTGACGAGGCAAGCTCTTTTGAATCCTTGAGCGACAGCAGTTGCCGTGGTGCCCCTCAAACAGTTCATGATGCGCCCCTCTGCAAGAGTGCATTGCGGACCAGTGTGTTATAATCACACGCGCACATGTGTGCATAGAAATACACATGTACACCTCAAGTATGTAACGCCAGGACCCATGTCCATGTTCAACATTTCACAGGGGGATTGGATTTGCCAGGTTATGAGTAAATGGTGTTCAGGGCACACGCAATTGCTCTGTTTTGAAGGCGCAGGTGTTGTGCTCTGACTAGCATACTACATGCCCTTTTCTTCATAAGCTACATGATAGTGTGTATACATTTTTTGGGAGAAAGGATATGGCATGAGCCCTGCGGGGCAAGTGAACATGGGGCACACAAACACGGCCAGGTATGGGCCCTTTTTCTGACACTCACACGGGATCTGCCTCTCTTTTGCGCAGGGCCAGCGGATGACCTTGCTCCGCAACAAGGCCTGAGTTGCTTGGCTTTTGCTCTCTCGGCGGGCCGTCTTTCTCGAGGGTGGCTTGTGGCCTTGGAACCTGTGGCCAGTTTGCGTTCTTGGTCAAAGTCTGCTCGCCTTGAAGTGGTGCGGGTGGATCAACGTAGATGGCACACCCTCCCCATCTAGGTTCATTATCCTGATTTAGGGGCATGCAGAATACAATGGTGCCATCTACTTCAACCCTGCTGTTTGCGCTTAGTGGGGCTTTCTTCAAATGGAGGCTCAACCGAAAAAGGAGACAGTTGCCAGTTTAGGGGACTTGTTTGACAAACACCCTGGTCCAAGCGTGTCTCAGCCTGCACCTCGCATCAGCAAGCCTATGGCTGCGGCTCCGCAAGAGCTACGCGGCTGCCAGGTGGACGATCTGCATCGCCGCTTGCGGCAGTTGGCGTGGGTCCCAAAGCAAAGTCAACCGTGCCATGCTCGTCTGGAGGCTTGACCCTGGATTCCTAACTATTCCGGATGAATGGGGGAGGGGAAACACTCTGAGAAGTGATCAGGATGATCTCTAAACCGGGACCACCCATTTCACGAAAGCTAGCTTTAGCTAGCTGAAGTTTCTCCTTGCGTAAGCAAGGTAAGGGGCTCAACTGCCGAAAGATTGATTTTTTCAATTATTTGAGCCGAAAAGATTGAAACATATCAATTATTTAGACCCCCCCCCCCTCCCCCCTGTGTTCTGTTTTTCAGACCATTGATCGCCCGCAACATTTGGCTCAAGGCCCCTTTTGCATAATCACGACCATCCGAGCGTGAGGACAAAAGAGCCATTGCAGGCCGCTTACAGGATTATCCATCAGACAATCCACCAGGGACAATCCATCCTCCAATCATCCATTATTGGCATATTGGACTCTCTCCGGAATAGATCCAGGGACAACGACCTCAACTACCACAGGGTTCCAGTTCCCTCCGGGGATAGGCACCTGGGGCAGCGGGCCTCAATTTGTGGTAGCGGAGCGGGTTTTCCGCAGAGATCCAAGGGAAGATGTCATCAGATGGAGAAGGCTTCATGGAAGCCTACACAAATTCGGCGAAGCCGAGCTACACGGAGGAAACACTTAATTTATCGATGACCGCCAAGCAGCCGCCATCGTACGACGGAAAAGTCAGCTGGTTCAGGTATGAAGAACTCGTGGACGACTGGGTGACAATCACCACAGTAGAAGCAGCCAAGCGAGGTCCATTGCTTAAGAGCAGACTCACTGGAGATGCTTACATGTACAAGGCCGTCCTCCAAAATGACCATTTGCAAGATCCTGATGAAGGAGTCAACTATTTCAAGAACACGCTGAAGAAGTACTTTTTTGAAAGGTGCGACCAACGTGTATCTGTACAGACTCCTCAGTTTCTTCAACCACTGAAGGCAGAACCAAGAGTTCCTCATTTTTACCTCAAAATTCGAGATCCTTCTCATGAGATTGAAGGCAGCATGGATGGACTTGATGCCAATCTTTACGGCACAGTCTCCATCATTCCGACAGTCCGTACAGGACGCAAACGTGAGAACAATTGCTCGACATCAGCAAGCAGCCGGTGCTCGAGCGCACCGCCTCCAGCCCTGCTAAATGAGGACGATCCTACAGTCCTCAGACAATATATCCAAGGAATGCAGGATAGACAGCGGGACGCATTTCCCTTCGGGGATAATCTCATTGCACAGTTTTTCATTATACAAAGTGAGTTGTCAGATCAACAAAGAGAACGACTCACAAGTGCAATGTCATTGAGGAACATCTCACTCGAGAATTATTCCTATGAGATGCTGAAGACACACTACCATGAACTCTTCATCACAACGAGGACATCGATCCAAGATCCATCATCCGACCTCAAGGAGGCAGCCGAAGCAACACGTTCTTCATCATCGAACAAGGTGAATATGAAGGAGAAGAAGGCTTCTGGGTTGAGGATGAAGAAGGACTTGAAGGATTCATGTCAAACAACGATGAAGATACGTTCTGGGTCCTCGAGGAGAACGATGCGTTCATAGCAAGAAAAGTGTCGGGGCGGAACTTCAAGTTCAAGAAAAGAAAAGGGAAAGGAAAATCAGGAAACAAGAAGGGCAGTCCCCAACGAGGTGGCTTGAAACCCTTCAGAAAAAGCGGTTCTGGCGGAAAGGCCAATATGGCCAACGAAAACTATGACCCCTACGACCAGGCATATTGGGGAAAAGGCAAAGGAAAGAAGGGAAAGAAAGGAAAATCAAAATTCCAATATCCCTATGATGGAAACAAAGGTTATCCATCCTATGAGAGTGGCAAGGGAAAGAGCGGACAGGAGAAAGGAAAATCCAAGACGTTCGCAGCCACCGCAGAGAAGACGGAGGAGCAGCCCGCCATCCAGCAGACTGCACCATCCATAGAGCCTACCTATGCCGGTTGGACAGACCAAGACTGGGATCAATCATGGACATGGAACGAACATGGCTGGTACTCATCCCATGAGACATCCAGCACAGGACAAGCGTTAATGGCATTCCATGATGCATATGAGTATCCTGGGAAAAAGGCCATCCACGAGAAGCTGATCCAATCAGATGCAGTTTCAGAACACAATCTGTCCGTCACAACAAATCACAGCCTTTTGGCAACAAAGCTGATGGCGCCTGTCATCAACCCTCAGCACAACCCGACCTATGCGATTCTGGACAACGGATGTACCAGATCTATGGGCAGCTGGCATGCAATCCAGCGTTTTACCCAGGCAATCGAACCAATGAAGGACATCATCTCCTACGAGTACATCCCGGCCGAGACCAAGTTCACTTTTGCAAACGGAGAGACCGCCAGGGTAAATTGGACCCTGCATCTTCGATATCACACAACTCCTCCATGCAGTACGAACATCGACATCCTTGAACAAGGAACTGTTCCGATCCTTCTCAGCATCAGCCAGATGCGGAGCCTCTACATGACCATCGAGCACACACCTCAATGTGACAAGATCACATGCAAGGCCTTTGGCATGAACCATCAAGCAGTTCCAGTATCCGGTACAGGACATGCACTCGTCGATCTCGCTGGAGCAGGTCTTAAGGGTGGACATCCGCACAGGATTCGATGTAATGACATCCAAGGCACGACACATGGTCATGGAGATCATCAGGGAACAAGCACCTGATGTCATCCTTATGGCGCCAGTCTGTGGACCATGGTCAAATATGCAGAAAGGTGGGGGAAAAGCGGAGACGCTACCTTCCCATGGTTGAATTTGTGGCATCCATTGCGCGTTACCAGTTGAAGCACAGAAGATACTTCATTATCGAAAATCCTCAGACATCCAGGATATGGTATCTGAAATGCATGCAGCAATTGTTTTCAGACCCATCCGTGACCTGGGGAGATTTCCATTTCTGTGCATACGGACTAAAAGATCCTGAATCCGGGCTCAGAAGTCTCAAGCCCACGAGCTTGATGCACTGCTTACCTTCCGAGGTTATGAGACCGATCTTCAGAAGGTGTAAAAACTTTTCCAGCTCAGTAAAGCATGAACACCAACCCCTAGAGGGAAACGCTGGTTCCTTCGGAAGCAGAACCAAACTGGCACAGGTGTATCCTTACCAGTTCTGTCAGGATCTTGCGCACATCATCTTACGACACTTGCAGGTGAAACCGCTTGACAACGAGGTGTACCTCTTGGAGGACCTTTTTGAACCATTCACCATCAAGCAGGTTGATATCCTAAGAAAGGAGATGGAAGCCATCGACAAGGAGTTCAATATGACTAGCAGCAGTCTTGCAGTCAGAATCCAAGACCTGCCGTTCAACAAGGACGTTCAACCCTTAGTCATTCAAGATCCGCTAGTTCAGAAATTCCAGAAGACGATGAAACAGTACCCACCTGGGACTGAAATTGATGTCAGAACATGTGGAACGCTGCAAGAAGTTGAGACAACTGTGCATCTCATCCACTCAGTATGATGCATGCACTGCATACGTCCACACCATTGGCATCAATATGCCTATTACGTCACCTCCGGACGATGCAATCATATCCTTCTGGCAGCCTGATCAGCTGAATAGAATTTGGGTCTTGCCTGCATCAAAATGCAATTGGGAGAAATATGATCCGAAGACGTGGCATGCTGTGATGTTTTCATCCGTTCATGAGTCGTTCACCGATGCGCCGGCCATCAAGCCGATGCCCATCGAGACGGATCCATTGGATCCAACGGATGCACCTCAGCAATCTGACACACAGCAACCGCCTGATCAACCGGACCATCCCATGCCTGATCCAAGACCTCCAACACCTCCGGACGAGAGCATGTCAGATCCTCCTCCGGATCCTCCACATCAGCTTGATCATCCCATGCCGCCAGCACCACGCAGTGTGTTGCCAGACAGTCCAGTGGATCCTCCACTGCCGCCACACGACAAGCCTGGCGGAGGAGATGCAGCGCTTAAACGTCAAAAACAGTCCATTTCATCCTCAAGTGGACTCAATCGACTGGGGGGGTGATGTCTCTGTGCCGTCACAGTCGCAATCATCTCAGCCAATTCTTCCGACTGTCGTGGTACCTTCACCACCTGCGATTCTTACAGACCCCGAAGCAGAGGAACAAGATGAAGATCTTGAACTGCCGACACTTGTGCAAGAAGAAACAACCGGCAGTCCGTCAAAGAAGCAGAAGACTGGGAAGAAGAAGAAGAAGCCAGATGACAATGATGAGTCACCTGAGCATTCTCCCAGACATGATCCTG